TTGATTGAGTGAGATGGGGGGCACCAAGACGGGTATGTTGAAAAAAAAATTGAAATCGGTGGGATAGTTTTTGAGATATTCAAGAAAATAGGTTTAGATACAAAGTTGAATATCTCCTAAACTATTCATCCGATTTCGCCCATTTTCAATACGAAACATTTTAGTCCCAAGAGAGATGTTCGTGCCAAATTTTAAGTTAATATCTTCATTTGTTCGGAAGTTAGAGTGTTAACAAGCGTTTTGAACAAAAAACCGAAAAAATAAAATATCTCGGAAACTTTGTAAGGAAGGGGATACATATTTTGATTGATCAAGAGNGGACGGGTATACATATTCTGATTGATCAAGAGAGAAGGCATCAAGACGAGTATTTTGAAAAAAAAATCGAAATCGGTTGGATAGTTTTCCAGATATCGGCTAAAAACGATTTAAAAACGAATGGTCATTTCTCAAAAACGGCTGGACCGATTGAGCTGAAACTTAGCACACAGTTAGTCCTTAGTAATACCTATAAGCAGAAAAATTTTCAGATTTTTGGGATTCATTTTAGCCCTTTATTCCTCCAATTTTCAAAAAGTTGACCACCAGGTGGACACCCGCACATACACACGGGGTGGTCAAACTTCGTATTTTTACATTTCCGACCATTCTGCATCGTTTCCAAGCAAAATTATCGATTCGAAAAATCGAACGATTTCAATGCTTCCATTCGGAAGCAACAAGGCAATAAAGGCAGCCAAAGAGGACTGCTGGAGGTCTTTCACAAGCAACAAACAAGACTCCATATCTAGGGAGCCTACAGACACCAGATGGCAGCCACACGGAAACCATGGGAGAGACTCTGAAANCAAGACTCCATATCTAGGGAGCCTACAGGCACCAGATGGCAGCCACACGGAAACCATGGGAGAGACTCTGAAACTCCTAATGAACACTCACTTTCCAGGCTTCATACAGGCCCAGGAGAGGGACAAAGAGACAATGCAAAATCAGAGGGATGTCTATGAAACCCATGATTGGGTATTGGGAAATAAAATAGTGCAGCCCTGGGGGGTCAAGTGGGCCATCAAAACCTTTGAACTCTTCAAGGCAGCGGGACCAGACGGGATCTACCCAGCCCTATTNCGCATGGAAAACTTACAGAGGCTTGCTCGCAGATTACAACAAGGCAATAAAGGCAGCCAAAGAGGACTGCTGGAGGGCTTTCACAAGCAATGTGGAGAGTCAATCGGAGACCTCTAGGCTGGCAAAAATCCTTGGAACAAACAAGACTCCATATCTAGGGAGCCTACAGGCACCAGATGGCAGCCACACGGAAACCATGGGAGAGGCTCTGAAACTCCTAATGAACACTCACTTTCCAGGCTTCATACAGGCCCAGGAGAAGGACAAAGAAACAATGCAAAATCAGAGAGATGTCTACGAAACACATGATTGGGCATTGGCAAATAAAATAGTGCAGCCCTGGGGGGTCAAGTGGGCCATCAAAACCTTTGAACTCTTCAAGGCAGCGGGACCAGACGGGATCTACCCAGCCCTATTACAGGAAGGGATAGAGACTATCACGGGACCTCTAACCAAGATACTCAAAGCTAGTATAGCCCTGAAACATATCCCTAGTATGTGGAATGATACTAGGATAGTATTCATTCCCAAGCCGGGAAAAACCGGTTATATAAAACCAAAAGACTTCCGTCCTATAAGCCTCACATCCTTCATCCTGAAGACCCTGGAGAGGCTGGTGGATAGACACATCAAGGCCGGGCCCTTGGCTGACAGACCCCTCTCCCCCTGTCAATATGCATACAGAGAGGGAAGATCAACAGATACCGCCTTACATCACCTGGTGGGACTGATTGAGGGACAACTGGCGGTCAAGGGTTTTGCCATAGGCGCCTTTCTGGATATTGAGGGGGCTTTTGATAGCACTTCGAATCCGAAGGAAGAACGACAGGTGTCCAAGACTATCATTACCAAGACTATCATT